GTCTGCCCGGTGGGGTATGTCAGCTTCCCTCCATTTGTACACAGTGTATTATAGTCAGGTTGTTTGGGATCGGTTAAATTTGCTGTCACATTTATTTGTCCCTTTTGCTTTGTTTATGGTCTGTGGGTGTCGGAGGGTGTCGTGTGTCCAATAGTAAATGAGACTTAAAGTGAATTGTAAAGGCATACTTTTTTTTCTTTTAAAACAAACATGTCATACTTTACTGCTGTGTGTGATGGGTTTGCACAGAGACAGCCTGGATCCTCCTCTTTCTCGGGTCCCCCACAGGTGCTCCTGGCCTCTCCCTCCTGCTGAGTGCCCCCTACAGCAAGCAGCTTGTTATGGGGGCATCCAAGCAGGCTCAGGAGCAAGCCGCTGCTCTGTGTTGTGCCCACAGAGTCCCCTCTCCCTCATTGGTTTCTCACTGGCCATGATTGACAGCAGCAAGAGCCACGGCCCCTGCTCCTGCCTCAGCCAAAGAGGAGGAGTCCCCAGACTGCAGAGGATCTTGAGCACATTGCGCTGGATCAGGATGGGGCTCAGGTGATATTGGGGACTGCTGCACAGAGAAGGGATTTACCTTCATATATAAGAAATGCATGGAGGTAACAAACCTCCTGACTTAGGACACCCCCTGTAATCACACTCCTCCTACTCCGTTCTTATTCCACATTAATCTTAGGCATAGCCCACCGATCTGGTCATCCCTGCTGTCACTGGATACCTGCATTCCTTACAAGGGAGGTTATATTCCTCACCAGTGTAACTCTGTATAAAGAATGGAGGAGGAGGATGTATACCGGGGCTGTAAACCACAACATCCTGACCATTGTACTATGCATGCTGGGCAGTATATGACATACATCCTGACCACTGCGCTCTGTACACAGGCCTAAGATATACTCCTGACCCACTGCACTCTGAGTTAACACAGGCCTAAGATATACACCTGACCACTGCGCTCTGTACACAGGGCCTAAGATATAATCCTGACCACTGCACTCTGTACACAGGCCTAAGATATAAATCCTGACCACTGCACTCTGTACACAGGCCTAAATATAATCCTGACCAGTGCGCTCTGTACACGGGCCTAAGATATACTCCTTACCACTGCGCTCTATACACAGGCCTAAGATATACTCCTGACCACTGCACTCTGTACACAGGCCTAAGATATAATCCTGACCACTGCGCTCTGTACACAGGCCTAAGATATACTCCTGACCACTGCACTCTGTACACAGGCCTAAGATATAATCCTGACCACTGCACTCTGTACACAGGCCTAAGATATACTCCTGACCACTGCGCTCTGTACACAGGCCTAAGATATACTCCTGACCACTGCGCTTTGTACACAGGCCTAAGATATAATCCTGACCACTGCACTATGTACACAGGCCTAAGATATACTCCTGACCACTGCGCTCTGTACACAGGCCTAAGATATACTCCTGACCACTGCGCTCTGTACACAGGCCTAAGATATACTCCTGACCACTGCGCTTTGTACACAGGCCTAAGATATAATCCTGACCACTGCACTCTGTACACAGCCTAAGATATACTCCTGACCACTGCGCTCTGTACACAGGCCTAAGATGTAATTCTAACCACTGCGCTCTGTACACAGGCCTAAGATATACTCCTGACCACTGCGCTTTATACACAGGCCTAAGATATAACTCCTTACTACTGCACTCTGTACACAGGCCTAAGATGTAATTCTTACCACTGCACTCTGTACACATGCTAAGATATAAACCTGACCACTGCACTCTGTACACAGTCCTAAAATATAACCCTGACCACTGCACTCTATACACAGGGTTGTTATAGTATATGACATACTCCTGACCACTGCGCTCTGTACACAGGCCTAAGATATAACCCTGACCACTGCACTCTGTACACAAAGCTGTATATGATATACTCCTAACCACTGCACTCTGTACACAGGGCTGTATATAATATGCTCATGACCACTGCACTCTGTACACAGGCCTAAGATATTATCCTGACCACTGCACTCTATACACGGGACTGTATATGACATATTCCTGACCACTGCACTCTGTACACAGGCCTAAGAATTATAAACATGGCCACTGCACTCTATACATAGGGCTGCATATGATATGTTCCTGACCTCTGTACACAGGCCAAAGATATAATCCTGACCACTGCACTCTGTACACAGGTCTAAGATATAATCCTGACCACTGCACTCTGTACACAGGGCTGTATATGAAAGGTTTCCTGACCACTGCACTGTATAACACAGGTCTAAAGATATAATCCTGACCACTGCACTCTGTACACAGGGCTGTATATGAAAGGTTCCTGACCACTGCACTGTATACACAGGTCTAAGATATAATCCTGACCACTGCACTCTATACACAGGGGCTGTATATGACATGTTCCATGACCACTGCACTCTATACACAGGGCTGTATATGATATATACTCCTGACCACTGCACTCTATACACAAGAGCTGTATATGATATGCTCCTGACCACTGCACTCTGTACACAGGACTGTATGTGACATGTTCCTAACCACTGCACTCTTTTTGTTTTGCTGCGCCATGTATGACATGTTCCTGACCAATGGCCACATCTAAATGCTGGGGGCTGTATAAGACATGAATCTTACCCCACTGTGCGCTGTACATGACATACTACTTCTGACTACTTCACTCTGTATGAGGACTTATATCATATACTCCTGACCACTACACTCTGGGATGGAAACCACATACTCCTGACCACTACATTCTATATTTCTGGGATGGAAAAACACATACTCCTGACCACTACACTCTGTACTCTGAGATGTAAATCACATACTCCTGACCACTACACTCTGTACTCTGGATGTAAATCACATACTCCTGACCACTACACTATGTACTCTGGGATGTAAATCACATACTCCTGACCACTACATTCTGTACTCTGGGATGTAAATCACATACTCCTGACCACTACACTCTGTACTCTGGGATGGAAATCACATATTCCTGACCCCACTACATTCTGTACTCTGGATGTAAATCACATATTCCTGACCACTACACTAATGTACTCTGGGAGATGTAAATCACATACTCCTGACCACTACATTCTATACTCTGGGATATAAATCACATACTCCTGACCACTACATTCAATATACTCTGGGATATAAATCACATACTCCTGACCACTACATTCTGTATTATGGGATGTTAAATCACATACTCCTGACCACTACACTCTGTACTCTGGGATGTAAATCACATACTCCTGACCACTACACTATGTACTCTGGATGTAAATCACATACTCCTGACCACTACATTCTGCACTCTGGGATGGAAATCACATACTCCTGACCACACTACACTCTGTACTCTGGGATGGAAATCACATACTCCTGACCACTACACTCTGTACTCTGGGATGGAAATCACATACTCCTGACCACTACATTCTGTACTCTGGGGTGTAAATCACATACTCCTGACCACTGCACTCTGTACTCTGGGATGTAACTCCTGACCACTGCACGTTGTTTGCAGGGCTGTATGAAGCAGTCTCCTGACCCCTGCACTCTGGGCCATTATTCATGATGAACCAGAAACTGGATGACCTGTAAAGTCTTGTAAAGTGTCCCCTGTGAGAAATGTTTGGGCCCCAAAGATCCCCATCATGGCCCCGACACACACAATTCTTTTCACTCAATAAAATCTTTATTATAGTTTTACTTCTAACAAGATTGTAATCATAGAATCAGGAAATAACAAAGGAAGGAATCCGATTGGTCAGGAAGATCCCTTGTCTGGAATGTGGGGGCGGAGTCATTAATATTGGTGTACAATACAATACACAACGTGTTCCATTATTATAACAAAGTATTGTAGAAAAGATCCCAACATGTGACATGGCTGAATGAATGCTGGTCATATTAGTTCATCTATTCTCTAAGTGGGGCGGTATCTATTGGGCCAATCCCTTTTACAAACCACACATAATATCGCCCTTCAAAGTGAAAACAGAACGATTTGCACAAAATCAAAGAGTAGAAATATTTTTCCGGTGGATCCCCTCTACCCAGACCCCATATATAGACATAGAACAACAAGCTGTGTTCCCTCTCGTGCCGCACTCCTCCAACCACCCAAAACCCACACAGAAGCCAAGGGAAATAATGAGAGGAAAGTTCCCCCCTAGTTTGGGGCGGAGTTCTCCTTCCCTCCTGTTGGGGGATGGGAGAAGGATGGACTAAAGACAGAGAGACGCTTCGGGTCACCACTGTTCTGTAGAGCCTTGAAATGAAGGTCATCAAACTTCAGAAGTTCTTGTTGTCTGTGTAAAGTTCCCCGATAACGAGATCTGGGCTCTCCCAGCTTCTAGCTCTGTAACCCGCTATATCATTATCAGGAAACGCAACTCCGACACCCAAGAAGGGCTGAAGTTGTGTCCTTCATTTCCAGGATCTACTGACCACTCTGCACCCCGACATTTACTGCACTTCATCCATGTCTTTGGGGGCCTCTCATCTCCTTATCAACTGTTCCTTCCATGATGAAGATCAGCCATGGAGTATATATCTGAGGTGTATATCAGGTGTGCTTCTTCCCCACATGAGAGCTGGGATGTCCAGCAACATTCATCTAGAAGACATTTCCCGCACTCAAGGCACTAATATACCTCCAGGTTGTGTGGGACCCTGATGTACAGGAAGAGAGGACTTCAGTGAGGAACATTTCCCTCACTAAGGACAGGAAAGTGGCTTCTCCCCATGTGAGATCTCTGATGTTTATAAAGATTGGATGTCTGTGAAAAACATTTCCCGCCGCACTCAGGACAGGAATACGGCTTCTCCCCTGTGTGATATCTCTGATGTTTGTAAAGACTGGACTTCTCTGAAAAACATTTCCTGCACTCAGGACAGGAAATATGGCTTCTCCCCCGTGTGAGATCTCTTGGTGTGTGTAAAGATTGGACTTCACTGAAAAACATTTGCTGCAATCAGGACAGGAATATGGCTTTTCCCTCGTGTGACATCTCTGATGTCTGTAAAGACTGGACTTATCTGAAAAACATTTTTGACACTCAGGACAGGAATATGGCTTCTCTCCCGTATGAGATCTCTGATGTGTGTAAAGATTGAACTTCTGTGAAAAACTTTTCCCACACTCAGGACAGGAATATGGCTTCTCCCCCGTGTGAGATCTCTGATGTGTGTGAAGACTGGACTTGTGTGAAAAAAACGTTTCCCCAGCACTCAGGACATGGAATATGGCTTCTCCCCCTGTGTGAGATCGCTGATGTGTGTAAAGATTGAACTCTGTGAAAAACTTTTCCCACACTCAGGACAGAAATACGGTTTCTCTCCCGTGTGAGATCTTTTATGCACATTAACATGGTATGTAAGAACATATCCTCTTCCCACACACAGTACAGGAGAAGCTCTTCCCTGTTGGAAGGCCAGCCCGGTCCCGCACAGTCTGAGGTTCCTCAGGATACGAGGAATCCGATGGTCCATCTACACTGGGTGGTGCCGGATGGACATTGGAGGGAGCCGGGTTTCTCCTGGACTATACTGTGTGATGTCCTCATCTTCTACTTCTCCAGTCTGGAGACAAAGTGAGACAATCCTCGGAGGTTTTCCTCATCTCCCGGCCATGGACTAAAATACAAAGACAAAGAGGATTACTAGACAGGAGCTGATTGGTTCCCCAAACCAGGACTCCGCCCACATCAGGCAGCTTGGTCTCTGAGGAGCTTACAATTCCACCCTCAAGGGAAACTAGGAAATGGCTCCTCTGATCTCCTACAGGTCATTTCTTTATTCATGGACCTTAGTCAGAGAGTGTGAGGAAACAACCAGAACTGTCTTTTATAGGAGGGACAGTGATGAGGGGATTATAGGATGAGGGTCCCCACCCCCTCTATCACTCATCGCCATCTTCCCAACACAATAAGTACTGCACTTCCTTATTTAGTCCATGATTTAGTCATGAAGAACAGCGGGGCTGAGCCCCACCAGAGGTCAGAGAGTGAGGATGGGGGGAGAACAACCAAGATGAAGACTGGACTGATCCTGAAGACCACCATCATTGGGGTATTGACTCCTCCCTCATTATCACTTTCTGTTTAAGGGACCAAAGTTGGAGGATGTTATCACATTATTATGACCATGTAAAAGTCTGTGCTCCAATCACATCATCCGATATAAAATGTCCAGCTGGTAGGAAATGGGGGGAACAAAAGAGAATCCAATATTATGTGTATAAAAGCAGTGGGGGGAGGGGGAGAGCGGAAGTCAGGAATATGTAATGTACAACATAGAGTATATAGTGCAGGGGTCAGGAGTATGTAATGTACAACAATAGAGTATATAGTGCAGGGGTCAGGAGTAATGTAATGTACAACATAGAGTATATAACTGCATTGCGGTCAGGAGGATGTAATGTACAACATAGAGTATATAGTGCAGGGGTCAGGAGTATGTAATGTACAACATAGTCAGTATATAGTGGAGGGGACTAGGGTCAGGGAGTATGTAATGTACAACATAGAGATATATAGTGGCAGGGTCAGGAGTATGTACTGTACAACATAGAGTAGGTATATAGTGCAAGGGGTCAGGAGTATGTAATGTACAACATAGAGTATATAGTGCAGGGGTCAGGAGTATGTAATGTACAACAGAGTATATAGTGCATCGTGCGTCCAGGGTATGTAGTCAACATAAGCTATATATTGTGCAGGGGCAGGGTATGTAATGTACAAACATAGAGTATATGTAGTGCAGGGGTCAGGAGTATGTAATGTACAACATAGAGTATATAGTGCAGGGGTCAGGAGTATGTATGTACAACATAGAGTATATAGTGCAGGGTGTCAGGAGTATGTAATGTACAACATAGAGTATATAGTGCAGGTCAGGAGTATGTAAATGTACAACATTAGAGTATATTAGTGCATAGAGTACATCATAGTATATAGCAGGAGGGGTCAGGGGAGTATGTAATATACAACAGAGTATATAGTGCAGGGTCAGGAGTATGTAATGTTCACAACATAGAGTATATAGTGCAGGGGTCAGGAGTATGTAATGTACAACATAGAGTATATAGTGCAGAGGTCAGGAGTATGTAATGTACAACAGAGTATATAGTGCAGGGGTCAGGAGTATGTAATGTACAACAGTACAGTGCAGGGGTAGGGGAGTATTGTACAAACACTTAGAGTATATAGTGCATGGGGTCAGGAGGTAATTCAGGAGTAATGTACTGTAACAACATAGAGTATATAGTGCAGGGGTCAGGGAGTATGTAAATGTACAAACATGCACAACATAAATGTATAGTGCAGGCATCAGGAGAATGTATTATGCAATGTATATTAGTGCACACAGATTGATACAAACATATATAGAGCAGGGGTCAAATGAGGATGTGTATAGTGCAGGCAGCACAAATGTAATGTACAGAGTATATAGAGGAGGTTCAGAAGTATTTTAGGGGGTCAAGAGGATGTAATGCACAACATAGATTATATAGTGCAGGGGTCAGGAGTATGTAATGTACAACATAGATTATATAGTGCAGGGTCAGGAGGATGTAATGTACAATATAAATTTATATAGTGTAAGGGTCAGGTCTCATAATATTGGTACTCAGCAATCAGGGGAAGATTGTTTACTGTAGACAAGTTGCAGAGATCCCACACCGCGCCTTGCCCCCATCTCCTGAGACTGCACTCAGTGACTTGGGGCTGAGACACTACAGACATATCCCTCCACCCGGCACAGCCAGCAGATAACAGAGCAAGGAACCCTGGAGGAGTCAGGCACAAGCAGGAGACCCCAATCACATGTCCTGGGTGCCTACATTATGCAATGCTTATAGGAAAAATCAACATATTGCTGCCAGCTGAACCCCAGAACCTCCATAAATCTAGTCTAGAGACATAAATTGTGTCTGCAGCACAGAGAAGGAAGATTATCCGAGAGAAATCCAGGAATACAGGACGGGGAACACAGCTCAGGAAAGTGACCAGGGGATTACAGGCTGATATCACCCAGTCCCCCGCCCTACTCTGGACCAATCAGTGAGCAGTATGGTGGAGGAATGGATTTAGTGTTCATGACCCACCTGTGCTGATCTCTGTAGGAGTGTCCTCCTCTATAAATGTCCCCGTTATTCCATCCTCCTCCATAGACTGCTGATCATCCCTCACATACGCCTCTTCTCTCTTCTGCTTTCACCTCAAATTCTATATCGATTGGATCTCCACTCTAAATCAAGGAAATGAGAGAAAATATCATCTGTAAAATATAAGCTCACATAAAATATCCCACACATTGTCTCTATGAGTCCATGTTCTAGATTCTCCATCCCACCAACCTTGCAATAGTGAGGGATGGTGTGACCTTCCTGTGTGGAATCCCGGGAAATACAGAGGACGGGGACATCTCTCTGGTGGGTTCCTGGTATTAGGTGGCTCCATCATCTCCTTGTGTCCTTCTGAAAACTCCTCCATCACTCCATACTCCTCATCCTCCTCTTTATACTCTTCTTTAACATCAATATTCTCATCCCCGAGGATTCCACTCTGAAAGATATAATAAAACATTCATTGTAACAAACATGCTGTGTATAAATCACAACTACCAATAATTGTCATCATCTACCTGATGATGGTGAGGGATGGTGTGACCTTCCTGTGTGGAATCCCGGGAATACAGAGGACGGGGACATCTCTCTGGTGGGTTCCCATGACTGGATCCATCTGTAGGAAACACACACACTGACTGAATCCATTGTTTCTATGTGTTTATCAGATGATGGGGGATCTAGGTGGATCCTCCGTACTGCTCTCTCCTTTACAATAAAGTCTCCTCTTACCCGGTGATGTGAGGGGCGGGCTGATTGTCCATCATGACGTCCTTGTAGAGATCCTTGTGTCCTTCTAAATACTCCCACTCTCCATGGAGAAATAGACAGTGACACCCTGACACCTTATAGGAACCTGACACACACAATGATACAGTCACCATCCAGACACATCCCTTGTCTGTTACTGGAGAATGTCCCAGAATTCCCGGCACCGTCTCACCTCTCCTGTCAGCAGCTCCATCATCTTCTTGGTGACTTCTAGAATCTTCTGCATGTTGTGTCTCTCACGATTTAGGGAGTCACATGGAGGCACTGTGATGGTCATATGATCACCTGACTTCAGAAGAGGAAATCTCTGTATTGAGGAACCAATAGGAATATCATGTTAGAATCCCAGAATCCTCCTCACCTCTCCGGTCAGGTCTGTGTTTTATTAATAGAGATGGGTGATGTCATGTGACCTCTCAGAATCCTCCTCACCTCTCCGGTCAGCTCTGTGGTTTTATTAATAAAGATAAGAGTGATGTCATGTGACCTCCCAGAATCCTCCTCACCTCTCTGGTCAGGTCTGTGTATTATTAATAGAGATAAGAGTGTTGTCATGTGACCTCCCAGAATCCTCCTCACCTCTCCGGTCAGCAGGTAGATGATCTCCAGGGTGAGGTTTAGTATCTTCTCAGTCATGTGACTCCGGTCCTCCTCCATCCTCATTGGTGCCATCATGTGATCTATACAGGTCTCCTTGTAGATGGATAACTTTGGGAAATGAAAGTAAGAATGATTTGGATGGTATTGGTCACACGATAATAGGATGTGGATGTGAGGGGGGAATAGGAGGGTTGCTGGACATTGAAGAATTACTCCCCCCATGGGAAGACATTTAGTTTGGACTGTTCAGTATTTGCTACATCTTGGAGGTCCGGGGACCCTCTTGATCTGCCGAAGCAGAAATCCCCCTTTTCTCCTGTTGGGTTTGTTTGTTCTCTGAACTGGTTTTGATGAGTTTCAGATCTGCAGACAAGGAATGATAAATACGATCCTTCCTATGACTTTTGGTGAAAATCCCCTTGCGCTCCACAGGTGATAAATAAGATAAATGAAATATGCACGTTCAAGCTGCAACCACCCTTACCTTATACCAAAGGATGTAACAATATATATAAAATAATGGTGAAACGCTATACATATGCAATAATCATAAATACACATATAAAAAAAAAACATATATCAATAATAAACTGAGATAATTAAAAAGTGCAATATAAGTAAATAAATCAAATACATAAATCTACATAAAAAGATAAACACAATAATAAATCACAGTGACTGGTGCTAATATTCCACACTTGTGATGGTGTGCAAATGACAGGTCTAATGACCTCACAAAATGTGCCAAAAAGAAATCCCCCCAATTACAATAGAGGGATATATACAAGTAGGGTGTCACTCAATATACTCAATAATAAAGTGACTGGTGCTCATAAACCACAAAATTAATGAACATATAAATATAAATATCAAATGACAAGAATAAAGTCCACAATGTAGTGTAGACCAATATGTGCAAAAATTGGTGTGCAAAATATACAAATAAAGTGCTTCACTTTTCCACTCCAACCTCAATGCGTGCTCGTGAGACCCTCTAGTGTATCTATCCGTAAGTGGCTAGAGTGCCTCCTCACCTCCCTAACTCGACCCCTAGGGGCCACAACTCTAACAGCAGGCTCTCCACACCATAGGGGATTATAAACAACTGGCTCCACTTAGTCTCCACTGACAGATCAGGTTCCCCCTCAGGTAATGGTCACCGTAGTGAAGCTGAAAGGTACATGGTATGTATCAGGGCCATAGAGGAGTAAACAGAAGAGACCTCCATAGTGTGATACTATTTACTGATTTATAAACAAATTAGAACGCCAAATGAACACTCACGTTTCAGCTGGTACAGACAAGCGGTTTCCCATGTGCTATGGGTGTACTGTGGGACACTGAGTGTATGAAGATGGCGTGTACCGGAAGTGCGTCAACCGGAAATGCATCACCGCGCTCTACACATTACTCCACGATTACCACGGGGCTTCCTCAGGATATCACGATTGGTGACATGGTCTTCTATTTATAATTCATTGAGATGTCAATCAGCCAAAGTAGGGTGGAGACTCCTCTTTCCATTTTGTTGTAGTCTAATTCCTAATCCGGCAGCCATTTTCCCTAGTACATTAAGCGCTCTCCTATGTGAATCTTATTATTCTGCAGATTAATGTGAAGTCCCTATATTTGTGTTCCTGTGGATAGCTTCCATGGATGTATAAAAATGTATACATATAAATGTGCATACACTGGAAGGAAATTCCTATACCCACAAAGCTGCATACAGTGGGTGATCACCAGAAGTATCAGACCTTTCTCAATGTATATAAAATTGACATCTCAATGAATTATAAATAGAAGACCATGTCACCAATCGTGATATCCTGAGGAAGCCACGTGGTGATTGTGGAGTTATGTGTAGAGCACAATGACGCATTTCCGGTTGACACACTTCCGGTACACGCCGTCTTCATACACTCAGTGTCCCACAGTACACCCATAGCACATGGGAAACCGCTTTGTCTGCACCAGCTTAAACGTGAGTGTTCATTTGGCGCGTTCTAATTTGTTATAAATCAGTAAATAGTATCACACTATGGAGGTGTCTTCTGTTTACTCCTCTATGGCCCTGATACATACCATGTACCTTTCAGCTTCACTACGGTGACCATTACCTGAGGGGGAACCTGATCTGTCAGTGGAGACTAAGTGGAGCCATTGGAGCCAGTTGTTTATGATTCCTTATGGTGTGGAGAGCCTGCTGTTAGAGTTGTGGCCCCTAGGGGTCGAGGTAGGGAGGCGAGGAGGCACTCTAGACACTTACGGATAGATACACTAGAGTGTCACACGAGCACGCATTGAGGTTGGAGTGGAAAAGTGAAGCACTTTATTTGTATATTTTGCACACCTTCCTATGACTTGTTTGCTCTGAGGCAGTGCTGTGAGGTCAATGTCGGGTCATCATGATGTCCAGGAAGGGGAACTTGCTGACTTTTGGCTGGATTTGCTGACTTTAATAGCCAGAACTCTGACTGCAAGGCTCCAATCTCTGGCAGTCTGCTGACTGACAGGAGTGATGTCACTGTCACTCTCTGCAATAAGAGAAGGGATTGGATTGGATAGCAGGAGGATGCTACTGGTGAAGTAGAGAGCTGTGGGGGAGGAGTCTGTTCTCCTCCCTCCAATGACAGCTCATCATGGGTAGGAGGAGAACAACATAAGGGAGGGATTAGTTCTCTTCATTGCCAAGTATACTGTAGTATCCAGGACATTGTACAGAGTGGTGGTGGGTTCCTGGGGCTCTGAATTCCAGCACCGGGCATTGCCAGAGCCTGTGTCATGGGAGGTATTGGAGTGTCTCCTGAAGATGTATAGCACTGACCCCTGACTACCTTTTAGTTGATAATGCACCAACAGACCTCCTCTAAGAACAAGTGTCCACCAAGGGGTGAAGGATTGTCCTTCTTCATTCCACTTGGTATACTGGAAAATAATATATGACCAGTGAGATGGTCAGAAGGTGAAGGTTGCCTTCCTTTCCTGGTAGGAGTTCAGTAAGGAGGTCTGGAAAGTAAATGCAGATGGGAGAGTAATCAGAGAATAAGAGCCCCCCTCCCTACCTCAGAGTCCCCCTGAGCCTGACAACCTTCTCTTCCCTCAAAGCCCTGCTCCCCACCAACCCTATCCACCCAGATTCCTTCAGCTACTCTACCCCCTCAAAGCTCTTGAGCTCCACTACCCCTTAGGGGATCTAAAGTTCATCATCCTCAGTAACCCCTGAGAGACCCCTCAGCTCCTCAACTTCCCTCAGACCCCTCAGTATTTCCCTCCCTCTGACACCAATGATGGAACATATTCTTCATGGCCGGCTGGGGAATGTTTTCTTCCTCCCTGAGCAGCAATGTAAGGGGCTCTATGCTCCATACTCCTGACCCCGGCACTCCATCATTGTGTTGGCTGCATAGTGTAATGATTGCCCATTGGCTGCCTGTGTAGTGTCATCATTGCCCTTTGTAGGCCATGTATGGTCAGGATGGTCCTTGTCTTGTCTATTTATTGTCAGTGCTGTTTGTTTAGAGGACCATATTACTAGAATTTATCTCCACAATGAGGAGAATGTTCCGGCCCCGGAAAGTGGGGGAATGTTCTGCCCCTGAAGGGGTTCATCTGGGTTCCCACACTATATATGTGTGTATCATCATCTGCTGGAGATAAAAGATGTCACAGTGACTATGGAGGAAGAGGACAGACATGACTATGGAGGAAGAGGACGGACGTGACTATAGAAGAAGAGAACGGGCATGACTATGGAGGAAGAGGACGGACGTGACTATGGAGGAAGAGGATGGACATGACAGGGGTTACTGGGTGTAAATAGGAAATAACATCTTATTACCTCCTCTGCTGCCACTTCCACCAACATCTCCTTGCCGATGTCTAAGGTATGGAACTTCCTATCTTTATTCCAGATGACTTCCTGTCTTTACCTGACGTCACTTCCTGTCTGTATTCCATAGAGAAGTCCTGTCTGGGGAGAAATTACATCACCATCTTGTGGAGTTCAGAGGAACTGCAGCCCTGAGAAATGTCCCCTAATAACCATTCCAGCATTGTATCTACCTTACAGGGATACCAGGGAAGTTCAAAAAGAACTAAAAAATGTAAGAAACAATAAAACCTAACTCTTATGCAACCAACTGTTTAAAAATTATATATTTTACTACAGATAGAAAAGTCTTAAAGACACAGAACACATGATAAAAAAAAAATACATAATAAAACAGAGACCTCCAAACCAGATCTATTTGGGTAAAAAAAATGCAAAAATACATCCTAAAGTATAATAATATCTATCAATCCACTCATAATGAAGATGTTAGACATAAATGACAAGGATGTAATGGTCACAGAGGAATGGTGGTGGAGATCTCTCACAGTAAGAACACTTCCTTGAATGGTTCTATAAATAAAGAATGAATCCTGGAGGGAATAAAGCTGTAAAGCAATAAATAATATATAAACTGGGCCATCCACTTCATCCATAAAAACATTGTGATTGAAGATCTTCTAGATCACATAGAAGGAGGACTCATCCATGATTTCATACATTTGTTTGGAAGGATAGAACAATCCTCAGAAGGGAACATGTAGGATGACAGGAAAGGCTCCTGACTGGTGAGATCCTCCAAACATAATGATGACATCCATGAACTGGAGCGAGCTCGTTGGGGTGATAAAGCCAATCTGGAAACACTGTGTAGACGTTCTCCAAGAACTCAGCACACTCCAGGTGTGGAGAAAGTCTCCAGGTGGGTTTAGCCTGTCATTTATCATAGGTAGAAATGTCCACACATGGACTTCCACAGGGACCCCCAGACTACATATAGAACTTGTACAGCATCCCCAGTAATGAACTGCTTCCCACCAGGCCTATAGCAGAATGACAGCTGAGCGGGATCTCTCCCATCCTGGGTGGTCATCATATGAAGTCCTCCAAGTCTAGTGGCTCTGCTGTATCTTGATATGTCACCTGCTGTGTCCACCAGATGACAGATCATTGTACCAGGCCAGCCCAGTACCATGTGATTGCTGTGACCAATCACAGTGATCACATGACAGTTGTACATTATGAATGGCTTTCATTCATAGCCATTCATTGTGTTCTATTGTGATAATCTCTGTGATTTGTCACTGGCTCACTACCTCTACTGGAAATGTATTCCAAGCATCAACTACTCTTTCAGTAAAATAATACTTTCTGAGATTAGTTGTGAACTTTCCTCCAGTTAGTTGGAGGTCATTTTTCCCGTGTTCTTCATTCATGTACTTCATAAATACCTTTATGTAAGTGAGGTCTCCAGAACTGGACACAGTATTCTACATGAGGTTGCTGGTGACCCCTCTTGTGATACAAAGATCTATATAGAGGAATTGTGACCTCCTTCCTCCTGCCGGTGACCCCTCTAGTGATATATAGATCTATATAGAGGAATCAGGACCTCCTTCCTCCTGCCGGTGACCCCTCTAGTGATAGATCTATATAGAGGAATCAGGACCTCCTTCCTCCCGCCGGTGACCCCTCTAGTGATATATAGATCTATATAGAGGAATCGGGACCTCCTTCCTCCCGCCGGTGACCCACCCCTCTAGTGATATAAAGATCTATATAGGGGAATCGGGACCTCCTTCCTCCCTGCCGGTGACCCCTCAAGTGATATAAAGATCTATATAGAGGGATCGGGACCTCCTTGCTCCTGCCGGTGACCCCTCTAGTGATATAAAGATCTATATAGAAGAATCAGGACCTCCTTCCTCCTGCCGGTGACCCCTCTAGTGATATAAAGATCTATATAGAGGAATCAGGACCTCCTTCCTCCTGCCGGTGACCCCTCTAGTGATATAAAGATCTATATAGAAGAATCAGGACCTCCTTCCTCCTGCCGGTGACCCCTCTAGTGATATAAAGATCTATATAGAGGAATCAGGACCTCCTTCCTCCTGCCGGTGACCCCTCTAGTGATATAAAGATCTATATAGAGGAATCGGGACCTCCTTCCTCCTGCCGGTGACCCCTCTAGTGATATAAAGATTTATATAGAGCAGGCATGTCCAAAGTCCGGCCCGCGGGCCATTTACGGCCCAGGGGTTGGTTTAATACGGCCCTCCAACAGCCCTCCCTGCTTTGTGTAATGTGGCCCTCCCACGGCCCTCCCTTCTATGGCAGACAGTCTTCTGCTTGAGAGCAGAGGGCAGTGCGCATGCCTGACTGCGGCGCGTTCTCCCTGGTCTGTGTAAATGCGGCTGTCGCACGGCCCTCCCTTCTGTGGCAGACAGTCTTCTGCTTGAGAGCAGTGCACATGCGTGACTGCACCGCGCTGGGAGCGACAGAGGGCAGTGACGTCAGGGCCGGGCTTCCAGCGTGAAGTGTGTTTCTCTTCCCCTCCCGGCTGCCCAGCAGAGACTTCAGCTCCAGCTACCTTTTTCACCCTTCACATTAGTGCAGGTAAGTTTTTTTAAAATTTATTTTCAATACATTGTGAAAACTCAGCTGTCAGTTGATCTTAATGTTATGAAATGAAAAGTATGTCGTTTGTAATTAACTTGGCATAAAATAATATATTTGCATTTAATTGTAATGGTTCAAAGAATGTTCGGAAAAATGTTCGGCCCTCTACCATGTTCACTTCATCCAATCTGGCCCTCTTTGAAAAAAGTTTGGACACCCCTGATATAGAGGAATCAGGACCTCCTTCCTCCCGCTGGTGACCCCTCTAGTGATATATAGAGCTATATAGAGGAATCAGGACCTCCTTCCTCCCGCCGGTGACCCCTCTAGTGATAGGATCTATATAGAGGAATCGGGACCTCCTTCCTCCTGCCGGTGACCCCTCTAGTGATATAAAGATCTATATAGAGGAATCAGGACCTCCTTCCTCCCGCTGGTGACCCCTCTAGTGATGCATCCTAGAATTCTATTCACTTTCCTCACTGCCTGGCCACAGTGTTTGCTCATTTTGCAATTGTCTGAAATAAGTACCCCCAAATCTTTTTCTTCTGAAGTGCTGACCAACACTGTACCCCAATGTTGTACTCTCTCAAGGGATTTTTTTCCCTGGGTGCATTATTTTACATTTAGAAACATTGAACTGCAATTTCCACTTTTTTACCAATCTTCCAGCAATGCCAGATCCTGTTCCATGTTGCAGACACCTCCAGGAATAGCAACCCTATTACACACCTTTGTATCATCAGCAAAGAGACATCCCCTTACCCTTTAGTTCTATCACTTACATATAGATTACACAGAGCAGCTCCCAGTACAGAGCCTTGGGGGACACCACTAGTGACTGCTCTCTGTTCTGAGTGATCCCCATTTACAACCACACTCTGGTATCTATCCTTTAGCCAACTGCACATCCACTGAACCCCCCAAGGGCTAAGTCCTAGCTTGTCCAACTTTTGTATTAGATCTTTATGTGGAACTGTATCACATGCCTTGCTGGAATCAAGATATTCTATGTCCACAGCACCACCCTGGTCCAAAACATTGGTAATATAGTCAAAAAGTCCAATCAGATGAGTCTGCCATGGTCTGCCCTCAGTAAAGCCATGCTGCTTTGGATCCAGCAAGTTGTGTGTTTCTAGATGATCAATGATCCTTCCTTTCAGGAGTGAATCCATTAACTTGACTACCACCGATGTTAGACTCACTGGCCTGTAATTGCCGGCTTCTACCTTGCTGCCCTTCTTGGATGGAACACACTGTGCACTCCATTACATGAACAACATTGGGAGTGCTGCAATCATCATCTGATCAGGATACACAGGAGTATGAGCCAATCATAGATCACCAGGTGCCTACAGGGTACCACCCCATAGGGTTATGAGCCAATCATAGATCAGCAGGTGCCTACAGGTTACCAGTCCAAAGGGTTATGAGCCAATCGTAGATCAGCAGGTGCCTACAGGTTACCACCCCATAGGGTTATGAGCCAATCATAGATCACCAGGTGCCTACAGGATACAACCACACAGGATTACGAGCCAATCGTAGATCAGCAGGTGCCTACAGGTTATCACCCACACAGGGATATGAGCCAGTCATAGATCACCAGGTGCCTACAGGTTACCACCACACAAGGTTATGAGCCAATCGTAGATCACCAGGTTGTCGGAACTGTTCTAAGCTCACAGAATGAAACAGGAAGGCTGAACTTACCATCTCTACATGGACATGCTGGAAGCCATTTTGTTCTGTATATTCTATTTCATGGTTTCTGAACACAGATTCTAAGAGCATTCCAAGGTGGTTACAGCTTATGTTCCCAGGTTATAAATCTGGGGGGAGGTATGGTGGGATCAGACGGCTACAAGATGAAGACTAGACATGACACCAAGTGGTAAGATAAATGGATGAGTCCATGTCTAGATTGAACAAAGGACACAAGAAACTGGTCACAATGATTATTTCCCATGATCCTCTGGAAAGAGTTCATATTATACCTTACATTGTTTATATGGTGTTTATTATTATGTGACAGGAATATATCTGATCCCAAAATGTCACTTGTATTATTATTAGTATTACATGCAGTGAATGCTTGCTTACTTATGTCATCCAGGTTTATATTACTAGATTCCATTTCCACATATATACAGTATATTTATATGAAATGGTTTAACAATGAATACATATTGATATATTGGGGATATTGAAAACCTCCCATGGCTTTAAGTACCATCTCTATGCTGATGACACACAAATCTATCTTTCTACCCCTCACCTCACCCCCTCAGTCTCCTCCTCACCTCACCCCTTCAGTCTCCTCCTCACCTCACCCCTTCAGTCTCCTCCTCACCTCACCCCCTCAGTCTCCTCCTCACCTCACCCCTTCAGTCTCCTCCTCCTCACCCCTTCCCGTCAGTCTCCTCCTCACCTCACCCCCCTCAGTCTCCTCCTCACCTCACCCCTTCAGTCTCCTCCTCACCTCACCCCTTCAGTCTCCTCTCGCATTACTAACCTACTAAGTGACATATCGGCATGGATGTCACTCCACTTCCTCAAACTCAATCTTTCCAAAACTGAGCTCTTAGTATTCCCCCCACCCTGTGCCCCCTCCCCTGACTTCTCCATCAAGATCAATAATACAACCATCAGTCCCTCCCCTCATGCCAGGGTACTAGGTGTAATTCTAGATTCCAAACTGTCCTTTCAGCCCCAAATCCAATCGTGCAAATCATGTAGACTTCACCTCCGCAACATCTCCAAGATACGCCCGTTCTTAACCTTGTAAACTACTAAGCAACTTATTCCCTCCCTTGTTATATCTCACCTTGACTATTGTAACTCCTCCTCATTGGCCGACCTCATCGCAGGCTATCCCCTCTTCAATCTATCATGAATGCTGCTGCCAGACTCATCCACCTTACTAACCGTTCTGTATCTGCTACCCCTGTCTGCCAATCCCTCCACTGATCTCCACTCAGTGTCCTCCACCCCTCTCTGCCAATTCCTCCACTGGCCTCCATTCAGTGTCCTCCACCCCTCTCTTCCAATCCCTCCACTGGCCTCCATTCAGTGTCCTCCACCCCTCCCTTCCAATCCCTCCACTGACCTCCATTCAGTGTCCTCCACCCCTCTCTGCCAATCCCTCCACTGACCTCCATTCAGTATCCTCCACCCCTCTCTGTCAATCCCTCCACTGGCTTCCATTCAGTGTCCTCCACCCCTCTCTGCCAATCCTTCCACTGGCCTTCATTCAGTGTCCTCCACCCCTCTCTGCCAGTCCCTCCACTGGCTTCAATTCAGTGTCCTCCACCCCTCTCTGCAATCCTTCCACTGGCCTTCATTCAGTGTCCTCCACCCCTCTCTGCCAATCCCTCCACTGACCTCCATTCAGTGTCCTCCACCCTCTCTGCCAATCCCTCCACTGGCTTCCCATTGCCCAATGGATAAAATTCAAAACATTAACAATAACATATAAAGCCATTTATAACTCTGCCCAAAATTACATCACCGATCTTGTCTCTAAATATCGACCTCCTGCTCTCTAGCTCCCTTGTAACCTCCTCCCATGCTCATCTCCAGGACTTCTCCAGAGCTTCCCCATCCTCTGGAACTCTCTACCCCAATATATCAGACTATCACCTACTCTGTTCACTTTTAGGCGATCTCTGAAAACCTATCTTTTCAGGGAAGCCTATCCTGCCCTCAGCTAATAATGGAATCTTCTACTCCTACCAGTCCATCCCCCACAGTATTATAAAGTATCAGTTTGAGTTCATTGTATGACAACGTTGTTATGTTACAGAAGACGTGAGATAAGAAGTCTCAGTATAATGACCTCATCTTTTTGTAGGATATTTAGGTAGATTTGTTTTCTCCAGAATCACTTAAAGTGGTTGTAAACCCAAATATTTAAAAAATTGTACTTTTTTCCATAAATGAATACATTTTAATGTAAACATACATACAGCTGTGAGTGTACCTCAGAAAAATGTTCCTTTAGCTTGTCTCAACCCTCCAAAAACTGCTGGTCTGTGGGCGTGGCTTAGGACCAGAGAATAGTAGGCGGAGATGTGATGTCACACAATCCCCCAGTTATACCCCCCTCCAGCCTCGGCTCAAGAACAATCACTGGTGCTGATGAGTGCTGAGTTGTGGATCTTGTGAAGGCAGAGACCAGCATGGAGAGGACACCCCCTCCCCCACCCTTGCAGTGTATTACATGGAGGCTCATACTGGTCTCATCCTCAGCACAGCCTGTCACTCACAGGAGAAGGGGAGTGGTGACACCATATTTCTGCTGGTGTCAGATTTATTCTGCTCAGAAGATCAGGGGGATTTCTGGAGAAAGGGATTGCTTCAAGATACCAGACTAAGCTGAATGGCTCAGTAAAGGTAAAATCTACCCAACTGCAGGATTAGACTGATTTGTGTTTTTTAGGTTTACAACCACTTTCAGTAATACATTATTAGCAGTGACATGGGTACCAGTCTGTGTGACACCAAACCTGGCAGAA